GGATAGTTCCCTCTTGCTCTTTTAGAAATCTTTCTAGCACAATTCGAGCCATCAACGATGGTGCAAAGTCCACCTTTAAATGGCAGAAATAAAAAGAGTTTCAAATGATGGATACATTTACATTCTCTTTATTTTGTCAAGGTCATAATGTCTGTGTATACTAAAAATCAAGTGTAAAACACTATATGTAACATTCATGCCCTTTCTTTTATATTGCATTCAACTATTTGAAACAAACATGTCTGATCAGAGAATATGTGGCAGCAATCCACAGTACACCACGGGAAACCAATACTCATAGAAGACCCTGGATTATTAATATATTTCTGTAAATAAATATAGTAGATATTGTCCATTATTGAGAAATAATCTCAACCAATGTATTCGATTAACCCCCCTACATTAAAAAAGTATCTATATGTTTCCATTGTCTCTACCTACAGCAGAGACAAAATATATATTATTTAAATTTGTGTAACACACACATCGGACATTTGTCCAAGTTTGTTACAAGTTTGGAATGTTATCACTGCTATTTTAACTAGATAATCTATGCATAAAGACTAAAATATTATAATTGATGTGCAAATTCTAAGCATTTAAACTGCACCTTGTGAAATAGTAATAAAGATCAATTTGATTTTTTTGTATGCATGTTACATTTCAGAAGAAATGGCCATCTTTTGCTGTTGCTTATTATATGTGATACCCACAAAATAATGATATCTCATTAATTCCAGCAGCGCCTTCAGTTCAAGATCAAGTAGTACTGTGGGCCAAAAAACAGAGTCTGAAAGCTGTAATAGAAAATGAGTTTGGGTTTGGGGACTGGTCAAATTTATTTAGGATATCTTTTTGTAAGCAGCTATTACTCTGTTTTAATGGTTCTTGTACTTTTGGAAAACGCATGGTGAAATAACAGTTTTTAGACAGCATTACAACATTACTTGAGCGAATCAAGTTTTTTTATTTAACCATAAGACAGCAAACCTTACTCATATATTATCATAATGAATTTTTCTTGACAGGTTTTCAAGCCCAGTATTCATACAAAAATTTTATCTTGATTTAGTAACTAGACAAAAAGGCTGGTTTCATTTGTACATACAGTTTTTTTCAAATATGTATGTACTTGGATGTCCTTAAACTCCCCAAGTAGAAAGATATGCTTCCACAGGGCTGCTTATTTCCAGTAACCCACATCAGAGCTGACACATGAAAAATGGTGAAATTACTGAAGGTAGTCCAGCCTGAATAAGGACTACCTTATTAGTTCAGGTACTTGCATCTCCCTAATTTTCATATTAATCATGTGTCCATCTTACTCTGAAATAGGGCCATCATGCTCCATGTCAGAATTTAGCATGTAAGTAAAATTCATAGTGCTTCAAATCTCACTTGAAAATATTTGTATGTAGAGACCAGTATGACTAATTTTATCATTCCTAACAAAAATGAGATTTTAATTTTTTTTTAAATGTAGCATTGTTCCAGTACATGTACAATGTAAAGATGTCTGCACATAATTTAAAAAATTTAAAAAGAGCCTTACAGATCCTCAAAAAAATAATATGGAACTGTTCTTATTCACCAGAGCTGCTATATACTGTAATGTACCTATGTAATATATTTCTCATCAATTTTTACAGTTTCCACTGATTAAATATATATTGACTCATAAAGTATTATCATTACATCAATTGTCAGCAGATGCAGGAGTATGTCATTTAAATATTAACTATCACATAAAAATGGCAGCTTGATTGTTTGGAAGCTGTAGTATGGTGCTGGTTATTGCCACATCTCCCAAATGCATTAGGCAGCAGTCACACACACACACACACACAAAACAAAAAAAACCCACCCAGCAGAAAACACTCCCTTTCTTATGCACCTTACTGTACAGCCAACAACAAATAAATTCTTTAAATAACTTCCCTTTCTCCATAATTTTTTATTTATTTCTTACCTAAAGAAAAAAAATGATCTGAATTGCAAAGGTGCCTTAGTACAGTATTGCTAAAGTATCGTTTCTAGATCAGAAATTATATTCATCATATCTAAGTGAATGGGAATATCATGGGTAGAAGAAGAAATGAAAACAAAATATATAAAATTAAGAGTACTAATACTGTATTACTTTGCTCTGATGAGGTGCTCTTTTGTGATAGTTCTCATGCAATATAGCAAACCCAGTTAATTTACCAAGAATTCTTACTAAACAATTATTTCTTTATTCAAATAGGACAGAATACATTTAAAGTCGGCTTTCAAAAATAGCAAAAAGGCATGCTTTGCCAATAATATGAGGTAAATCCCCTATTATATGTTAACTGTATCATCAGGGTGTGTAGACACTTCATAGACCATTTAAACCTTCTAGTAACTGATAGGTAATGGCTCATTTGCTGACTGCAGCAATGTACAAGAGACTGAAACTGAAAGAGAAGCCATCCTTTCTTGCTAATATAACATGTAGAACTTGCTGCTATTGCAACACTCAATGTTCATAGTGTCACATCATTTTTAATGCAAACACTCATTTTCTGCCTTACTCCTATGTTTCCTATTAAAGTGCAACACAAAAGCAGCATACATTTCATTCTATCCCTTTGAGAGTGCCACAAGCAGTTCCAAGTCAAATAGGTATTATATTGTTGTTATTATTGTAAATAAATATTTCAGAGTTTAAGGCAGAGGTGCCTCAAACTGTGGGGCATGGAGAAACATTTGCGGGGGGGGGGGGAACGGCGATGCCAGGTGGCTTGTGGCAGCCCCACAGAGCAGGTTTCGGCCAGCCCCCAGAGGAGGTAGGGAGGGAGTGCCACCTTCACCCCCTGACTCCCTCAGCAGGCCAACCAGCCTGTGGGTCATTGTTAACATCTGCTGCAGCCGCAACAATTTCTGCTCCTGGCAGCCTCCACACCCAGCATTGGCTCCACCCCCAGAAATAGTCGCACATACCTTCCCCAACCCTGAAAATCTGAAGGGAGAGGGCCAGATACTGGCCCTGCCCTAGCGGTGAAGCCTGACTGCAAGGTAGAAGCAGCACACTGGTGAGGAAGACTTGGCTGTGCCATTGGTATCTATGCATTTGAAACTTACAGGGTAGGTAATTTAATTAAAGCTGTGCTAAGGTCTCTGTTAGCCTACTCATAAACCTATCATGCATACTTTTGCATGTGCCTATTTTTGTCTGGGATGAGGGGCACAACCAAAAATTGTAATTCAAGGGGGGTTTAAGGGCTTGATATTTCATTTTTTCTAGTAGGCTCAATTACTACTATTATAAACTTTTTATATCTTCATTCAAAGTAACTATCGGAACACACTTTTTTAATGCAAACAACTCATTTCCCAAACAGATTCATACCATAGTTACCAAACAATATCAATACATTAGTTACTGTCTCGTTAAAGTAGGAAGTGTACCGAACTTCTGGTACACAAAGTTTTCTAAGATATTGATATATTGAGGGCTTAATTTGCTTAATTGCTTTATATTAATCTGTCTTCCTTAGCCATTCCACTAACTTGTATAAATGGAAATAAAAGAGTCAAGGAAATGAATTGCTTTTAACCCTTAACTATAAAATCACAGATTTGGAGGGGTGGGGGAACGGAGGAGAGAGTTTAAACAAGAACCTCTAATCATGATAGTAGTCTATATGTCTTTAATCAACATGTTTATTTTAAAAATAAACCAGGATGTTAAACAGCACTTATTTTACTCAGTTTCTCTAAAATTTTCAACAAAATAAAAATTCCAGAAGCCTCTTACAGATTTGCCTTGAAGTTAGAGACTAATTACATTAACTGATTTATTAATAAATGGGGCTCTTTGTCCAATTATTGGAAGTACTAACAGACTTGGGAACAATTTCATATGTCTAATGTGCCTTGAAACCATTTTTTTAGGTTAATTACATTCCTAAGTAAAGTCACTATAGATATGCCCCTTAGGTTTTACACAGGAAGATTTAAAAAAATGATTACCTCATTGGCTAGCTCCAGTAGTACAGGGGCAGCTGCATTTTTCATCACCCCACTCAGGTACCTAGACAAGACAAAGCCAGGTAAATCTGCAGTGGTGAGAAAAGGCCATCTTCGACATGCTAGTGTCCCCTGTGTATTTCTTTCTCTTGGGCAAATGCCACACACAGCCTGGCTAGAAAACACTAGTTTGATTGTTTAAAATACTTATTTCCAAAAGATTCCCTATCATTAACTTTCCAGAGTTCAGTCCTGCAGATGTGTAAGATATATCAATCTCAGTTAAGTACTTATTAAAAATAAAATAAGTAAGCCAAGAAAATCATCTTTCAAAATTGTATTTTTGGCTGAACGCCATATAAACAAATTATATCTGTATTATTAAAACATGCATAACACAAGAAATCTCTACTATCCACAAAGAAGATTTGGGGCTCGACACTATCTTCAGATGCATAGGTATGCATCATGATGTAGCTACTGTGCATGTGGACAAAAATATGCAAATGTAACTACCGATTTTACCAGTTAGGCAGCAGTCTCAGCTGTGATGTACACTTTCTGTATTTAGATTTAACAATATAAAATGAATGCTACAAAAGGAAAAGAAAAAGACATTTTATGGTCAGGACTGTATGTTTGGGTGGTGAAGTTTCTGACCACCCCCACACGCTGACTAGACTGCCTTTTTGCCTCCTTACTATCATTACTGTTTGGTGTTTATATTGCAGTAGTGCCGAGAGGACTCCTTCAGGATTTGGTGGGAAGGAATTGTGTCACTGGCAGTTGTGAGCAGGCCAAATGGCGCTTAGTGGCTACACTTTAAAGGATGGGAGTGGGAGAAGTGTCATAAAAAGCAAAGTAGTATGCAACCTCTTCAGAAAATCATTTTTGTGACAACTGTCTCTCACACAACATCTAAAACTAGTTGGATAAACTGCCAGAACCTCCCATACTGGTAAATCAATCAATCAAATGAAATAAAGAAAATCTATGTCCAGGAAAAGCAGAAAAGTGGTTTCTAGTGGTTGGACAATGACAAAGTCAGAAAGTCTGAGATTTGTTGCCGACTCCAATAATAGCTTGCTATGAATGGGTCAAAATGTATTTATGCCTCAGTTTAACCATCTGTGAAATGGGTATAACAGGATTTACCTACAACTCCTCACAGGGGTATTGTGAGTTTTAGCATTTGTGAAGTATTTTGAGGTTGATTCATGACTGGAAAGACAGAAGATCATCTTATGGAAAAACATTTTCAGTTGCATGAACAACTACTTAAAAATTCCCCAGTAAACAGATGAACACATATAACTTGTTTTGGTGAAACAAACAAGAGTTCTCAAATTTTTAGCTCAGTAGCACTCACTGAACACTGACATCCTATAACTTCATACCTACCTGGTATGTCAGCAGTAGCTACTTTCTTTACTCTATTACAGGCCAAAAGCATCTCCAGCCCTGGTGTGTACTTTATTATGAACTTAGTGACTTCCAGTGACTTCCTGTCTTGAAGACACACACTGTGCTGAGGTGGACGGCTTCATGATGCTGAAAAGCATCCTGGTCTTTCTGGTAAACAGCCTCCAATTTTGCCCACCTCCAAGATTACGTCAGGGTGCACGGAGTTGAGCACAAATCAACATCTACACTCAGCAGCACTATTACCTGTTCCCAGCAGCACCACTATTCCAAGCAACCAGCACTAGTAGCATTCCATCAATGGGAACCAATGATTATTACAGAGCAGTCTGCCATGCTACAAGGGTAAACCGTGGCAAATTTGTCTTCCAACACCAAGCCTACTCCTCTTAAACCTCAACCACATCGTTGGCAGATGTCAATCTTGGTTGCTTCTCCCAGTTCCCTCCTAGTTGGCAGGCAGATATTCACCCTATTGCAGGAAGAAGCAATTTGCCCCTGTAATTTACATAATGTATTATTTATAAAAAGAAAAAGCTGAAGTTCAGACAAGCCTTCCCCCACACAAGGATGCAGAATGATTGTTCATGTCTTTCTTGAGACAAAGCAAGAACATCTCATAGAAGAAAGCCACCACAAACTACAACAACATTGAAATTAAGGTCCTTTGGGATGAAAATCATGCTAATTGATTTTTGTACATGGCACTTCGGTATTATAGTAACTGTGGAGCATTAAAAAACACTATACTGAGATAAAAGTTTCTTCAAATCTTACATTAAAAAAGTGTAATATGTGCACCCTCATTTAAATTATTCTGCCAAGTATGCAAACTATCTCAGTCAGACAAATCTTTCCTTCCTTAGCCCAAAATATCCACATGGAATCTATTAAATTAGTAGATTAATAATTCTACTAAAACAGCTTGGTGAGTAATGGTAATTTAACTCAGATGCATAAAATACAAAACAAAATAATGGGAGAAAACATTTTTTTACATCATTTCCACTACCATTAAGCTTCATACATGTGAATTTGTTATGCACTACCATCATACTTGAGACTGTACAAAACATGAGGAAGATATGGGGCCAAATGAAAGCAGACTTTACTCACACCAACTGCCTTACTGACACCAATGCAACTACTGCTGCATACAAGGCAAGCAAGGTTTGGTTCCATGTTTCCTGCTCCAAGACACTTCTAATAAAAATAGACAAACACTACACTGGGTGATCTGGAGACACATTTATCACAAAAAGTGGTTCAAGTGCTCTAATAACTAACACTTCTAAGAACATGTTGAAACAGTCACAGTTAATGTATTGTTATTTATTGAAACTGTACTAGTGGAAAATTAATTAGAAACAATATTATGTAGTAATAGTGTGATTTTGAAAGATTTTTAACAAATATCCTTCCTCAAGAATCAAAACTGGGAAAGGCAAAATGTGACCAATGTAATATGATAAGGCAGTGCAACTATTTTTCAAAAGAAAATAACAAAATATGGTGTGTTAGATTTTCTTCCTTCATGTCTAATATTACGAGGTTGTCCTTAGTTCTAAATATGTGACTTTGCAGAAACATTGAGACTAGCTAATTGTTTATAAATGAAAGCTTTTTGTTTATTTTCCTCATTCATAAAGATAATATTAAAGCATAATACCAGACACCTATAATCACAATCTCACTTGCCATGAAAGCTCTTCAGATATGTCAGTCTACACAGAGATATACAATTAAAATATTACTACCAGTTATCAGTATGCCCCAATTATGTCATTGAGATGTCTAAAGAAAAGTCAGTAGAACTAAGACAAACTATAAGGTGTTAGCAATTACTATTTATTAACTCAAGATGCATACAATTGTAAAATTATTTTGTAAAATGACAAAGGTTTTCACTCCTTCTTAAAAGGTGTTGCTGACATTCATGTGGTTTTAACTTTTAGTTTACTCCTGTTTATGTTATATTGGTAAATACATTAAATTTAATATGCAATTTTTTACATAATAAAAAATGTCTGTAGCTTAAACAACACACACATTTGTAACTGAGCAGGCCCCCTCAATTTGGGTAGTTTTCTCTCAGCAATATAATTTACAATATCAACCGTGGCACGTAAATCTTATAGCTTTCAGTATAAGGCAATACATAACACTAACACACGTGCTCCAAGAGATATAATCTTGTCATCTTGTCTTTAAGCCTAGAAATTCTGCTGCTAAAACTGAAGAGAAGAATTCTGACTCAAGAATCTTTCACTAAAATGATTTTGGGGTACTTCCACCATCCTGATTCCAATTTGTTAATTTATTTTTATATGAAATTAGCTGAATAATCAGATTTACTCAATAATAATTGCAATTAGTAGGTACTACAATACCTTCTAATGGGATGGGAAGGTAGGTCATACCTTTGGTAGTAAGTTTCAATAGCCTCAGCAGTGTGATGCTTTGCATGTGTTCTTTTGATTTGTTTCTGAGAAGAAAGAAAAAACAAAACCAGAGACTTTTATGATGTATCACATCGGACATATGAAGCATGAATGTCTGAGTGCATGCTTTTTGGCCACCGTATTCAGCTTATAAGGAAAACTGAATTATATTTTGAGAATTCTATATAGAAATGGCTTTTCATCTATCTATTGAATAGAATGTCTTCAGACTATACTGCAATGTACCATATATGTAAAAGCCAGTAAGGTCATAGTAATTGAATCTAAATAAGTTTGTTGAGGGTTGCAAAGGGCAAAGAAAAACTTGTTCTCTCTTTCAACCTTTGTATTAATTTTCCCTCAATTCAATTCCATCTAAGTCCTCTGCACTCTAGTTTTACAATTCAATTGCCATTTTTAACCAGGAAGAGCATTGCTTAAAAACAACTTATTTGAAAAACCACAAAAAGTAATTCCACAGAGACTTGCCACTTGACTGACACCTGTCATCTCATGATAAATGACTCCATTTTCTGCCTCTCTTGCCTTCTGCCACTCCGGCAATGGTCATTTATCATCATCTCTGTCAGCAATGGAAAGCAGCACTGACAGTGCAAGTCAGCAAACATTTAGCACATGGAACCACGCAACACAGGGAAATTATTATTGTCAGAATAATAATGGTTTAGCATAATTTATTACAGGTCCACCAAATAAGCAAAGGCTAGATGTTATTAGACAGATGGATGGGTAGGCTTGGCAGCCATCCACTGAGACTCAGGCGGTGCTTGATGTGGAAAAGGGAACATCCTCCAAACCAATCAGAAAGCTGGCAGTTCAATTACAAAGAAATAAAGGGACATTCATCATTCAATTAGGCACCTGTCAACCCTCACAAAGGAGAAAACTTCTAACCTGGTACTCCTGGGAGAAGATGCTCAGCAGAGTGGACTGCGATTGACTGGAACAAATAAAAGAAGGACAAAGTTAATTACTGGAGTGCACTGCAAAGAAACAAAAGAGAAGGGAGCTTCAAAGGTAGGCCTGCTGCCCTGTAATCTAACAGAACATGAAAACAAGTGTGGAAAAGTTGTTCCAGATGAACACCTCAGACAAAGGCTTCCTGCTGCTAGGTCAAGGAGAGAAAGAGTATGAGGGAGGGGAGAAAAAAAAATATAGCAAGAATTTCAAAGCAAACTAACATTGTTTTGGTGATTCTTTTTCAGCTTCAGAACCCACAAAGTCATATCAGTATCATGTAGTGGAGTTAAAAGGGAGGGGAAGAACGAAAACAAAGCAAAATTTCCATAAATAATTGATGGAGTTAAATTCCATTAGCAGTTGGGAACATGCCGCTTGTTCATTGGCAACATATTGAAATTCATTTTGTTAGCAGCAAGGGAACCTCTTCAGTAGCTGTCTCAAATTCAGGACAGAAACTTAGCTCTCTGTCAGAAGTAGCATATGGGACTACTGGAACATTCCCACTGAAACTGATGTGCTTTGAAAATAGAAACTTTCACAGCAGGAAGCCGAGATTCCCTGGAGTCGGTCATTTCCAAAGGCTGCCATAAGCTTCATTCATCTAAGGCGCCACTCAATGTCAAACACCTGGCAATGAAGCAACCTGGAAAACATTCTTCCCAAGTGGGAATTTTTCCCTCAGAATTGTTAACATTTAGAAATGGGACAAGATTTTTTCCTCTAAAAGGCAAATCAATACCACACTGCTACAGTCTTCAATTGTCCTCTGTGGATATATCCAGCTCATCACATCTTGAATACAATTAATTACTTCTGATATATTTTCCTACCAGATGCAACTTGAACAAATTACAGTTTCAATAAATCGAATTTTATAGTACAGCAAAGCAATATGAATAATTAACAGTTTTCCTTTCATGAATGCATCTATTAAGACATATCTTAGATTGTTCTGATATTCAGGAACAAAGACTGAAATCATATTCCTCTATCAGCTCATTCATACAGTTCACTACACAAGAATTTAACAATAGCATTATGTCTGTCTTGCTACTGTGTTTTGCATTGCTGACCCTAACATGCTACAAACTTAAATGCTCTATCTAGATACTTACATAGCCCTACTATGGTAGTATTTAAATGCCTCACGAACAGCTAAAGATAATGAAGTATTATCACCATTTTATAGATGGAGAACTGAGGCACAGAGAGATTAAATGATGTGTCTAAAATTCACACCAAGTGTGAGGTAGAACTAGGAGTAAAGTCCAGATCTCCCGGCTTTTACTACAAGATCATCGTTCCTCTACCTGCCCCAGTCATATAAGTATATGTTAGTATTAGAATTGTAGATGGATATTAGTCTAATATACAGATTTACAGAATACTACTGAATAGAATTATAGAAAAAATTAACAGTTACAAGACGTCAAATGATGCAAATAAATGCATATGAAAATTTCAAATTTAACTTATTACTCTTTATATTAAGGCAGAGCCTATAAGGTCCAAACAGGATCAGAGTGTCATGTTGCTAGGAGACTGGTTTGTGGATATGGTTAGAACAACAGGCAAGGATGATGAATTTAGCAGCAACGATTTGAATGGATATGAAGGAGATGAGAGCGGTCTCAGAAAGATCTATGAGGAGTTTGCAGTAGTCAAGATGGGAGATGATGATGGCCTGCACAAGACTTTTGATGGTGTAGACATACAGAAATGTTGAAGCAGGGATCTCAAGCATGTTATGAAGGAAGCAGCAGCAGCAAGATTTGGGCACCATCTGGATGTGCAGAGCTAAAGTTTGTGGAGTCCAACATGACACACAGATTATGGGCCAGGGGAGGCTGTGAGTGAAAGGGAGGATAGTTGTGTTGTCTACCATGACAGAGAAAAGGAAAGATTGGGAGGGAAGACAAGGAGTAAAGATTTCTCTTTAAAATTTTAAGCTGATAAATCCTATTTTTCTTTAAACAAAGAGGCTAAAGTGACAAGTCATTCATGTTTCTACAGTATGGAGGATATGTACATAAATTAAAAGCAGTAAAGACTAATATAACAGATGGAACAGGAAGCCTCATCGCCACAAATTATTTCAAAACATTGTAGGCAGAAACCTTAAATCAGCTTCAACATCTTATTAAAATAAAATCATGATTTTATTAACCCCCCAACATATTACAAGAGCTGAACTTTATGATCCATTATTTATTTTTCTTAAAAAAAAAAAAAAGTATCTGTCACACAATTTAAATAAGAGAATTGTTTCTCCTTGCTTTTCTTGATTGCATGCTCAACATAAGATTTCTCTTTGATTAGTTCTGATTACATTCTACATCTCTTAGGGTATGTCTACACTATGAAATTAGGTCGAATTTATAGAAGTCTTTTTTTAGAAATCGTTTTTATATAATCGATTGTGTGTGTCCCCACACAATATGCTCTAAGTGCATTAACTCGGCGGAGTGCTTCCACAGTACCAACGCTAGCGTCGACTTCCGGAGCGTTGCACTGTGGGTAGCTATCCCACAGATCCTGCAGTCTCTGACGCCCATTGGAATTCTGGGTTGAGATCCCAATGCCTAATGGGGCAAAAACATTGTCGTGGATGGTTCTGGGTACACGTCGTCAGGCCCTCCCTCACTCCCTCCGTGAAAGCAACAGCAGACAATCGTTTTGCGCCTTTTTTCCTGGGTTACCTGTGCAGATGCCATACCACGGCAAGCATGGAGCCCGCTCAGCTCACTGTCACTGAACGTCTCCTGGGTGCTGGCAGATGCGGTACTGCATTGCTACACAGCAGCAGCTCATTGCCTTGTGGCAGCAGATGGTGCAATAAGCCTGATAACCATCGTCATCATGTCCTAGGTGCTCTTGGCTGCCTCGGTAAGGTCGGTCAGGAGCGCCTGGGCAGATATGGGCACAGGGACTGAAATAGGAGTAACTCGACCAGGTCATTCTCTTTAGTCCTGCCGGCAGTCGTATTGCACCGTCTTCTGGCAAGCAGCCAGGAGATGAGGATGGCTAGCAGTCCTATTGCATGGTCTGCTGCCAGCCAAAGATCATAGAATCATAGAGAATCATAGAATATAAGGGTTGGAAGGGACCCCAGAAGGTCATCTAGTCCAACCCCCTGCTCAAAGCAGGACCAATTCCCAGTTAAATCATCCCAGCCAGGGCTTTGTCAAGCCTGACCTTAAAAACCTCTAAGGAAGGAGATTCTACCACCTCCCTAGGTAACGCATTCCAGTGTTTCACTACCCTCTTAGTGAAAAAGTTTTTCCTAATATCCAATCTAAACCTCCCCCACTGTAACTTGAGACCATTACTCCTCGTTCTGTCATCTCCTACCATTGAGAACAGTCTAGAGCCATCCTCTTTGGAACCCCCTTTCAGGTAGTTGAAAACAGCTATCAAATCCCCCCTCATTCTTCTCTTCTGCAGGCTAAACAATCCCAGCTCCCTCAGCCTCTCCTCATAACTCATATGTTCCAGACCCCTAATCATTTTTGTTGCCCTTCGCTGGACTCTCTCCAATTTATCCACATCCTTCTTGAAGTGTGGGGCCCAAAACTGGACACAGTACTCCAGATGAGGCCTCACCAATGTCGAATAGAGGGGAACGATCACGTCCCTCGATCTGCTCGCTATGCCCCTACTTATACATCCCAAAATGCCATTGGCCTTCTTGGCAACAAGGGCACACTGCTGACTCATATCCAGCTTCTCGTCCACTGTCACCCCTAGGTCCTTTTCCGCAGAACTGCTGCCTAGACATTCGGTCCCTAGTCTGTAGCTGTGCATTGGGTTCTTCCGTCCTAAGTGCAGGACCCTGCACTTATCCTTATTGAACCTCATCAGATTTCTTTTGGCCCAATCCTCCAATTTGTCTAGGTCCTTCTGTATCCTATCCCTCCCCTCCAGCGTATCTACCACTCCTCCCAGTTTAGTATCATCCGCAAATTTGCTGAGAGTGCAATCCACACCATCCTCCAGATCATTTATGAAGATATTGAACAAAACCGGCCCCAGGACCGACCCTTGGGGCACACCACTTGATACCGGCTGCCAACTAGACATGGAGCCATTGATCACTACCCGTTGAGCCCGACAATCTAGCCAGCTTTCTACCCACCTTGTAGTGCATTCATCCAGCCCATACTTCCTTAACTTGCTGACAAGAATACTGTGGGAGACCGTGTCAAAAGCTTTGCTAAAGTCAAGAAACAATACATCCACTGCTTTCCCTTCATCCACAGAACCAGTAATCTCATCATAGAAGGCGATTAGATTAGTCAGGCATGACCTTCCCTTGGTGAATCCATGCTGGCTGTTCCTGATCACTTTCCTCTCATGTAAGTGCTTCAGGATTGATTCTTTGAGGACCTGCTCCATGATTTTTCCAGGGACTGAAGTGAGGCTGACTGGCCTGTAGTTCCCAGGATCCTCCTTCTTCCCTTTTTTAAAGATTGGCACTACATTAGCCTTTTTCCAGTCATCCGGGACTTCCCCGGTTCGCCACGAGTTTTCAAAGATAATGGCCAATGGCTCTGCAATCACAGCCGCCAGTTCCTTCAGCACTCTCGGGTGCAACTCGTCCGGCCCCATGGACTTGTGCACGTCCAGCTTTTCTAAAAAGTCCCTAACCACCTCTATCTCCACAGAGGGCTGGCCATCTCTTCCCCATTTTGTGATGCCCAGCGTAGCAGTCTGGGAGCTGACCTTGTTAGTGAAAACAGAGGCAAAAAAAGCATTGAGTACATTAGCTTTTTCCACATCCTCTGTCACTAGTTTGCCTCCCTCATTCAGTAAGGGGCCCACACATTCCTTGGCTTTCTTCTTGTTGCCAACATACCTGAAGAAACCCTTCTTGTTACTCTTGACATCTCTGGCTAGCTGCAGCTCCAGGTGCGATTTGGCCCTCCTGATAACATTCCTACATGCCCTAGCAATATTTTTATACTCTTCCCTGGTCAT